CTTAGTGAGATCTGAGAACAACATTAAGTAGACTTGCCAATAGTTTGCTTTGTGTTTTTATACTTGGCTCTGAGAAAAATGTGGGCATGCAGGAGTGGGGTTATCTTGGGTGACTGTTTATACAAATCATCACAGTTTATCTTTGAGAAGAGAACTACTTCCCCACCCCCAGACAAGAAAAAAAAAAATATACGTATGAGTGGGTTTATTCATCTGCCGGATAATTCTTTCCATATATTGTTATGTTATTCTCTACCTCACACAATAGTTCTGTGTAGTGGGGTGGGGGAAGCCTATTCCTATAGGAGAAAGCAGTAGGGAAACGGTGATCATTCTGACTAAGGGCAACCTGTAGTTTCAGTCACATGGAAAGCATAGGAAATAGCAAAGAACTTGAATAAGGCCAAAAAAATTGGCAAAAAAAAATCTGAGTTTGATGCTAGTAGTTATCAGCTACTGGAAAAACATAAAAAGCCTTCTAATTCCAAGCACTGACAACTCTACAGACAGCTGAGTATAAGTTCCCATGCCCTTTTTTCTTGCAGGCTGAGGAATTCCTACTAGTAATCTAACTTTCAGGAGGTCTGGCCCCTAAATTTTACCTAGGCACATAGGCTTTGAGAAAACTTTGCAGAAAGATCTCAACAGGAAGACAGAACGAAGGCTGAGGTTAGAAAATGCATCCAGCTCATCTAAGGGGCAGAAAGTGAAATTCAGCCACATGCTAAGGACCAGCACAACATCTCCATGCCATATATGTGCCAGCTGAATCCACTACACAGAGGTGAATGAAGAACAGATTTACTCCCATAGTAGTAATCATGGAAATGATAGAGAAGTAGGGTTGGAAGGGACTTTATAGGTCATCTAGCCCAACCTTCCAGATGCAAGTCACCCAGCAGACAAAGCACTGTGTACAAATGGACATCCTCTTCCCTTGTCATTTCAGAGGGATCCAAGGTCTTTATGGCAGTGCCTCTCAGGAATGTCATTTGCTGGCCAGTACAGTCTATGCCTCAATGTTTCTCTCTCTCTGCAGGTATGTGAAAACCCAGCGCCACACCCTGCAAGTGGATTATATCTCATACTTGGATGAAATTGCCAGCCTGGCAGGGTTCAAACCCAACCTGCTGTCTCTCTTCCTCACGGATATTAAGCTAGCCATGGAGGTTTTCTTTGGCCCGTGCACACCATACCAGTACCGCCTGAGGGGGCCAGGAAAGTGGGCTGGAGCCAGAGAAGCCATCCTGACCCAAAGGAAGCGGATCACCAAGCCCCTGAAAACCAGGAATGTGGAGGATTCTACCAACTACACCTTGGTGCCCCATTCCTTTAACATTTTCCTTGGTGCTGGTTTAGTTGCTGTAGCTTTAGCTTGTATTTCTTTGCTTTTTTAGCCCTCTGGGGAACAGTTTACTGGTGAAATGATTCCTACCTGTGGCTTTTCTTCCTTCCTCTGCATTCATGGACACTGGATGTTGGCAAGACACACTCACTTCCATCACAGGGCAAACTTGTTCTGTGGCAAAACTGAGGCCGTCTCATCTTCTGCAGCAAAAGTGCAGCCCACTTGTGGCCTGGGAACATCACTGGGGATCCTGGCTTTGTTTAAAAAAAACTCAAGTTCTCTTATTTTAAAACCTCTAAACCCACGTTTTTCCATGATTAAAGCAATCTGGAAGCCTACCAGTGGCTCGGTCACTATAATAAAAACAAATTCTAAATACCTATAAATTTTGGCATTTGATTTTGAGTTTATCATGGAAAAATCAGAGCTCCCCCTACCTCCTTTGCTCACCAGGATGCAGGTCTAGCTGTGGCTGCCCCTCCCCACCACTGCTTTGTCGCTCTGCCCTGCCTGTGCCATTGCCCCTTACTTGCCACCCACAGCCCCATGGCCCTGCTGATGCCCCTCACTCTTGTGGCAGGGGGCTGTCTCGCAGCCGGTCTAATCCTTGGTCTGCCCACCTGCCTTGTTTCTGATGTAACCAAAACAGATGTTTACAAGGTGGGAGGCTACCCATTTACTGCCCGATGCCAAGGGTGTAATACACAGCTCCATGCCATCCCTATACCGTATCCCTTGCCTTACAAATGGCATCACTATGTGGCCTTGGCCCCACAATGGACCTCACTCTACGCCTGCCTGACATTCACACCCCACCTGGATCCCTTTTTCTCAAGTGGTCTACTCCACCCTCATTCTGGGCTGCAAAACTCCCTAAACCCTTTTTTCCTCATGGCTGTGGCCCCCTCTAGGACCTTTGGCCTCACTGGCCCTAGCCTCACCTCTAAGCCAGTTGGGACTCCTGGCCTCTAGCCTCTGGCTGTCCCTTGCAGTGGTCCTTTGACCAGTCTAGTCCGGTCCTTTGACCAGTCTGGTCCTGGCCCCAGTACAGGCCAGCCAAGGTTACTTTGGGTAGGTACTGAGCTGCTCATCCTCATACTCCCATACAGGTCTGCCTTCTCTGGCCCCTCCAAACCCAGCTCACTCAGTCACTAAGGCTGCCCTATGCACAGTCATTCATGCCGGCCAACACAGACCCTACCCTATGCGACCTTCTCACTTGATTGCTCTACTGCTTTTTCACGCACCCCCACCGGAGCTACTACACCACTCCCCTCACTGGGGCTCTCAGCCTTATGCCCCTTACAGCACCATACCTAGACTCCTGGTGAACTTTTAGTATCAGCCCCCGCCCTTTGCCAGAGATGATGATAATGACAATAATAATTGGACAACAGAAAAAAAAAATTACCATTTCCAGGCTCCCTTTCTGTCTGGGCCCCAGGAAGTCACCCAGTTCACCCATGCCTGTATCCAGCCCTGGCCTCTTGTGTCTCAGGCCTGAAGACCTGCCTGGACCCCTTGCCTGTCCCTTCTACAGCATAATTTACCAGGTCATGGGGGCTGAGACTATATGGCACCCCATACTCACGTTTCACTAGGGAGGTACAGGCGTGGCATATCCTAGGGACTACCCTGCCACAGGCAGCCCCACCACATCATCCAGGCCCAGCAGAGTGTGGTTTTAGGTCACTCCCCAGGACCAGAAACCTCCTCCATCCCCATAGGTCCTGCCCTGAACCACCAGGTGTTCTGGGAAAAGCAGCTACAGATAGGCAATATTGTCCTTCTGGCCCCCTGCAGCAACTTCCTGCTCAGCTCTGAGGGTCTGGGCTTATACTAAGGCTGGTCAGCCCCATCCCCCAATCCCTCTTGCAGTCATCTGACTGCCTTATTAAGCTGCATCCTGGCTGCTCCACAGTATGTTAAAGCTTCTTAAAGTGGCAGGCACCAAAGGTGCCCTGCTACTCTCCACACCCACAGTTCTGCCGGATGGGCCCCCAGCTGCCATGGCTATGGGGCAGCAGGGCTGGCCCACAATTTTTGGGGGCCCCCTGACATGAAGAAGCTGCCACCAGCGGTGGGGAGGGGTGGGGGGTGGCGAGCGGGGTGGCAGGAGTGGTAGCGAGCGGATGGATGTGAAGCCAGCAGATGCAATGTCGGTGGTGGGGGTTGGCGAGTGGCTGGACACAGGGGGCCCTTTGGCTGCAGTGCCGCCTGCGGCTGCAGGTTTCGAAGGATAGGACGGGCCGGCCCTAGAAGCGAGACACCCAGGTCCACAGCACCCTGCCCCACCAGCAGTGCCCAAGTGGGAGGCAGTGGCTGCTGTGGAGGAGCATGGAGCCCAGTTTCCCCCTTCCCCAAGGGCAGCACGGCCAGAGTGGAGCCCGCTGGGGGGGGCGCAGATACGGGCTGCCCACTGCAGGCTTGGGGCTCCCCACTCTGTTGCCCTCCCCCAGGGCCTCCACAACCCAGTGGGCAGAACCCAGCATGGCAAGGAAGAGTCAGGCTGGGCAGAGAAGCTCAGTGCTGCCACTGGGAGCTCCGTGCCACCCTGGCAAAGTGCCCCCTGCCCACCTGGCAGCAGCAAGGGCACAACTGTGCCACCACTCCCACTGCTGCCAGGTGACCATGGGGCACCTCGCCATTGTGGCACATGGCTTCCAGCAGTGGCACTGAGCTTCCCTGCCCCACGCCACCCTGCCATGCCAGGTCCCACCAACTGGGCTGCAAAGGCTGTGAAGGCCCCATGGGGAGGGCAGCAGAGTGGCAAGTCCCAAGTCCACAGTGAGCAGCCCACTCCCACCCTGTACACAAATCTGGGGGGCAATTGCCCCCATGCCCCTCCCCCAAGACCCAGGCAGGGAGGGGAACAGGGCCATAGGCAGCTTGTCCAGGGAGTGCGGGGGCGGTGGCCGCATACTCCAACCCTGGGCCCCAAGCCCCACACAGCACCCAGGCTGGGCAGCAGCCCCAGTCTCAGCCCTGCCTAACTCCCACTGTCACTATGGGGGCCTCAATTCCCACCCCCCCACCTTACCTGCAGAAGCTGCTTTCCAGGCTTTCTGATGGCCATGTGCATGTGTACATGCCCCCATGCACATGGCACACTCTGCCTGACTGCTCTCCTCTCACTCCCCGCAGCCCCTTGTAGGCTGGAACTCTGCCAGCTTGCAAGAGGAAACCCACCATTTCTTGCATTTTTCTCCTTTAAAGGAGAAAATCCAGGTTTTTCTCCATACAATGAGAACATCCAGGTTTTACTATGTTTTTCCATGGAGAACAGAAAATCAGATCCATGGTTATCACATGCCCCATTAAGGTCCATTCAAGTTCTACTTTGGGTATCTAAATCATTTTCACCAGGGCCAGTAAGACCAGAGGTGGAATTTATGCTGGGATGAATTCCATCCTTAGACTGAGGAGGAAGGTGACCTCTTACCTGGATCAAAACACTTTCTTTAATCTTTAGGACAACATTTGTCAGAATGGTGCAGAGATGTCGATTTTTCCATAACTTGCATCCTTGCCCATCTCCCTGCTAATGTATGTGGCACAGATGTAAAGGACAGGAATGACTTTTAGTGTCACCAGCAACATTCAACATTGTGTCCACCTAACCATCATCCTTGTCAATGCAGCTACTCAACTGCTTGTTTCCCCAACTGCAATGTAGAAAGAGGTATCTTATGATCACCGAATGGCCCTGAAATGGTCAGGACAGTCTGTATAGCCAGGTGCTAAACTGCTGTACCTGCAGGACTGCCTGAAGATTGGTAGTAACTGTAGACTATAGTAGGCCTTAGGTTGCTTAACAGTAATATAGCATAGATTTGCTTGCATTCATTTGACCAAAGTTTGGGTAAGAGAAGAAAAGGCAAAAGAGATGATAGGTTAGAGGATGTCACAAGGTGTGAGCCATTTTAGAAAAGTCAAGAAAGATGGAATGGAAAAACTAGGTTAAAGGTCTCACTAAAGATTGCTTAACCACATTTAGTAGTTAGGCAAGCCTAATTTCAGACAAGATATAACACTTGATCTGAGCTATTACATAGGGAATAAGAATAGTCATATGAATATTAATTAAAGTAGCACTTATTAAGAATACTTTCCCCCCTCCTTCTTTAGTAAACTTTTGGATATTTTAGCCAAGCCCTAGAGTATAGAAGTCTGGGTTCATCCCAGAATCTTTGCCTTTCAGCCTCAAAGCACAGTTATTGCTTAACAGCTCATCTGCAGATGAATTGAGATAAGAACTCTGTTATAACTTAATTGGAAACCTAAGCAAAAAATCCTTTCCTCTAACAGGCTGGCCCCATGTTAGAGACTTTAAGACCTCAGGACTTGGAGAAATTAATTTTAACTTACCTCAAATGTTAACAAGATTGTTATTTCTTTAGAAGAATGCACTTTATAAAACAGCCTCCCCTCACCTGTCTAGCCACTTGATGGCAAAATGAGCAGCAAAGTTGTAATGGGAGCACTGTGGCTCTACAGAGAGCAGGTCTTGGTTTCTAGCATAACCTAGGCTTCTGACAGGTATCTCAGGCAGGTGAGATAGATCCCTCCATCCAAAGCAGACTAAGGGGCTCTACAGAGTTAAGAGCCCCTCAAACTGAGCTCTGCTGGCTGAAGAATCCCTGGAAAGGGAGTGCCTGATCTTGGCGTGTGCTTACTTCCTTCATGCATGGGAATTGCTGCTATTGACCATTGCTGGGATCTGTTACTTGGGTTGTCTGATGTAACTCCTTCTTTGTTGATGTTACACACACACACACTTCCAGATCAACCAAATAAGCCTCTTTGTAGTATGCTGACCCTCGTATGAGTGCCCTTCCACAGCACACTGGCATAGGACCAAGTATCTGATGTCGACATGGCTGTAAGGCTCTAAACCTGCAGGGCAAGAACCAGGAAAGCCAAGGCTGCAACTGAACTCCAACTAACTACAAGTATCAAGGACAATAAAAAGTCCTTTTTTTAGATATGTGGGGAGCCAGAGGAAAAGCAGGGGCAACACTGGACCCCTGCTAAACCAGATGGGACAACTGACAACCGACGCCCAGGAAAAAGCCAACCTATTAAATGGGTACTTTGCATCGGTCTTTCATCAGTCCCACGAGACGCCCCTGCCCACTACGGGACAGGGGGACCTGGGTGAGGGAGATTCCCTGCCCTCCATCAATGCTGACCTCGTGAAGGGACACCTTGAGAGGCTGGACACCTTCAAGTCAGCTGGCCCTTACAATCTACACCCCAGGGTACTTGAGAAGCTGGCGAGCATCATAGCCCAGCCCCTGGCACAGATGTTCAAGAACTCCTGGTGCTCTGGTGTAGTGCCTGAAGATTGGAAGAAGGCCAATGTGGTGCCTATCTTCAAGAAAGGGAGGAAAGTGGATCCGGCAAACTACAGGCCCATCAGCCTGACCTCTATCCCAGGGAAGGTCTTAGAAAAGATTATTATAAAGAGGCCTGTGGCAGGACGGCTCCTAGGGATGCCATGACCTCCCCTAGTGCCCTTGCCTACCGTGCCATGTCTGGATACCCTCTGTCTTGCCCGCCACATCTTTGATCTTTTATTATCAATGGGAGGCTGCCTTCCTTGGCCTGGGGCTGGTCTTACTATACCAGGAGTCTGCTCTACTCCCTGTGCTGGCCTTCTCCTGGGCCTACTTGATATGCGCCCTCTCCTGGGGCTTCTCCCCGCACTCTCGCCCCTGCCGGGGCCTGTGCCTCATGCTCCTCACGCTCTCCGCCCACGCTTGCCCACACTGGGGCCTTCTATGCTCGTGCTTCCCACGCTTGCCCACACTGGGGCCTCTAACTGGGCTCACCCCCTTTCAGGGCTTCCCCCTTCCAGGCAGCGCCCCACTGGGGCCTACCCCTCATACATCTCATGGTCACCCGCACTCGGGCCCGCGCCCCTCGCCTGACTCAGGCCACTACTCGCTCTTCCCACGCTCCTCGCGCTTTGCACGCTCGGGGCTCAGGCAGCCTCAGCCTTACCTGGCTCCAGACTCCTTGCAGGGTTCTACACCCAGCTCAGGCCTGTACTCGCGCTTCCCACGCTCCTCGCCCAAGCTCGGGCCTGTACTCGCGCTTCCCACGCTCAGGGCTCAGGCAAC